GTCATAAGGTCTGTTTTCCTGACCTCTGATCATGCGTGTAGCTCTTTTCTGGACTCTCTCAAGCTTCTCCACATCCTTTTTGAATTGTGGAGCCCAAAACTGGGCGCAGTTCTCCAGCTGTGGCCTCACCAAGGCCAAGTACAAAGGGAGAGTGACGTCCCGGGATTTGCTTGAGAAGCATCTATGGATGCAAGCCAGCGTTTTGGTCGCTTTAGTAGCTGCAGCATCGCATTGCAGGCTCATGTTCGTATGTTGCCTTTTGATAACATTTCAAAGCATTTGCATAACTGGGTAGATGAATAACTGATATAACATCGTATTAATAGTGTGGTATTCCTAATATGATATTGTAGTCTACCACATGAAATTGAACAGTTTGTTTTTTTTCCTCCCCCCCGCCCTTAACTCTCTTTAGGGATTCATGTTTGGAAAGTCTGGGGAAATCCTAACTATGAGGTTACGTTCTTTCTCCTTCAAAGCATTGCTTCAACAGGTACATATCACATTTTTGGGGTAGAGCAATTTGCAGCAAACATACAGACCAGATAAATTTTGCAAGCTGTTGTTATATAACATTATGCAAGCACCAGGTTCTAGGTGCTGTCTGTAAGGGCTATTTAAGAGGGCCTGTTTTTCTACTGAAATTTTAAAAAATGCACAACTTGTATACATGGAGAAGTACATGTGTATTTTTTTGTTTTGCTTTTTGCATATGTACAAGTAAAAAAGAAAAAAGCAGACAAACTTTGTTATGGCGCTTTGAAAGTTGCCTTGTTCTGATGCTGTCTTTTCTTTAAATATCAGCATCTTTTTGATCACAGTGAAGCATTCCTACAATCTGCATGTCTGTGTCAAACTTAGGGCATTGGCACAGGTTACAATAAAACTGGCATAAATGTACCTAAAACAAGAGCAGTCATAAGCTAATGGGTGTTAAACCATCATAAGTACCCTCTAAATGTTTTAAATGTAAGCCACTTGAGAAGGTTTATCTTGGAAATGTTTACCCATGCCATTTCAGGGTATTATTTGAGAGGAGGTAAAACCCTTTCCTTCATTCCTCCAGCATCCCAGGATGCACACCTCCCAGCCCTCTACCCCTTGCTACCCTCCAGGACTAGTGGTTCCCCATCACCACCCCCTTCCCACTGACAGCAACTGTTCTGAGCTTAATTTCAGAGACCCTGGAACCAAGAGCCTGTTTCCCCCAGCCGCCGAGTCTGATTATGTGAAGCTCAATTTCAGCCTGAGCACAGAGCCCTAGGGAGGCTGCTTCTCCAGGGCTCAGCTGTCTGGTCAGACCTCCCTCTAAGCACAAAGCAGCTATGCAGCTGCATCAACTTCAGGCTGAGCTGAGGAGGCAGCCTTCCCCAGGTTCTGTGACTGGGCTGCAACGGATGTGCCTGCTCCAGGAAAAGAGCAGCTTAACAACTGCAGAACTCTGGAGCCAGGGAAAGTATACTTTCCCCAGCCCTAGGGCCAAGACAGCTCCCCCCACCCCCAGTCCAGCCTGTACAACTGCTGCTGCCCTAACCCCACTCCCCATTCCAATCTAATCCCAGTTCACTGAGACACATGCAAGATTTTAGTCCTTTTTTTTTAACATCTTTTTCACTTCTTTCTCTTTATTTCAGTCCCTGCCTCACTTCAAATGGCTTTTTCAAGATTTTTCCCCTCCTACCCTCTGCTCTGGCTGGGCTTTTTTTGGAAGTGGTGGGAGGGAGGACCACATGTGGGTTTCTCTGCCTCCCAGCTACGTGCTGCTCTTCTCGTTTCTTTCCTGCATGGGGGAGGAATAGTGTCCTGGCTCCTGTCCACTCCCCTGCTCTCCAGCCCTCTAATCAAGTCATGCAAGTCAAGTCAGGTCAACATGAATCCTTCATCTGAGACTGCTCTAAAATGCCGTAATGTTATATCTTCTCAACATTCCACTGATTTCTGACATTACACAGGTAGCCTGTGCCAAAGCTCTTAGGTTAGCAAAACAGAAGTTGAGTCTCTGTTCCAGGTGAGCGTGATGTAAATGTTTAGATATATATATTTAGTTCTATTTGCTAGATGCTGTGATAACAGGTGTGAATTCTCCATGAATTTTCCTTGTTGCTAAGATTTTCATGGACTTCATATATTTCATAGACATTAGGGCTGGAAGGGACCTCATAAGATCATCCGGTCAAGCCCCCTGCCCAAGGGGCAGGAAGTCAGCTAGAGTCAAAGGATCCCAGCAAGATAAGCATCCAAATGTTTCTTAAAAGTGTCCACAGTAGGTGCTTGCACCACTTCTGTGGGGAATCTATTCCAGGCCTTGAGGGTTCAGATAGTAAAGAAGTTTTTTCCTTATGTCCATCCTAAAACAATCTTGCAGGAGTTTGTGACCATTGGACCTTGTCATCCCTTGGGGTGCTCTGGTGAACAGGTGTTCCCCCAGATCCTGATGCACATCCCTTATGTACTTATAGGCTGCCACCAAGTCACCCCTGAGCCTATGCTTCTCCAGGCTGAAGAGTCCCATAGCTCACAGCCTGTCTTCATAAGGCCTGTTCCCTTGCTCTCTGATTGTGTGGATCTCTTCTGGACTCTTTCAAGCTTCTCCATATCCTTCCTGAATTGTGGAGCCTAGAATTGGATGTGGTACTCCAGCTGTGGCCTCACCAAGGCCGAGTACAGCAGGAGGATGACATCCTGGGTCTTGCTTGAGATGCATCAGTAGATGCAAGCCAGAATTGAGTTCACTTTGCTGGCTGTGGTATCACATTGATGGTTTATATTCATCTTGTGGTCAATCATGACCCCCCAAGTCTCTTTTAGTTGTGGTGCTAGTGAGTATAGCATTGCCGAGCCTGTAAGTGTGATGCAGGGGGGGGTTTTCCCCAGAGGTGGAGCACCTTGTATTTCTCTGCATCGAATGCCATGAGGTTTTCATCCTTCCACCTTGCAAGCCTATCCTCAAGTGTAGATACTCTTCCCCAAAGTTTGGTGTCATCAGCGAACTTGGTCAGTTTGCTTCTGACACCAGAGTCCAGATCATTTATAAAGACCTTAATAGGTCAGGCATTAATAGGACCCGCCCCCTCCCCCCCAGTCAGTGTGATCAGCCGGGGGGGGAGGGTCTCAAAAGGGACCCACGTATCTCAAGAGGCACCAGTTGCCCATAGAATACAGGTCCGAAACCAGAGCCTTGAAGGATACCACTGGTCACTGAGTGCCATGTTGATTCTGTTCCACCAACTACTACTCTCTGGGTCCAACCTCGGAGCCAGTTTCCCAGCCACCAGACTGTACTGTAGCTGAGGCCTCAGTTGCCCAAATTTCCATGATGGCATCATGGGACACCAGAATAAAGTCTTTTTAAAGTCCAAATATATGATAATAACCTCTTCCCTTTTGTCCAGGTGATATGTCACCTGGTCATAGAAGGAAAGGAGATTGTTGCGGATAGGTCTTGCCTGACCAAACCCATGCCAGCTGCCCCTCGGATTGTTGCCTTCTGTTAGCCTTTCAAGAATGGTTTCTTTGATAATTTTTTTCTAAGATCTTCCCAGGGATTGAGGTAAAACTCATTGGCCTGTAGTTTCCTGGAACTTCTTTCCTCCATTTCTTGAAGATAGGCACCACACTGGCCTTCTTCCAGTCTTCAGGGACTTTGCCCAAGCACCATGAGTTCTTAAATACGCTTGCCAGTGGCTGTGCTATGTCTGCCAGTTCCTTTACCACACTTGGATGCAGTCTATCTGGACCAGCTGGTTGTCCAGCTTCTCAAGGTGCTCCCTCACAAGGTCTATGCCAATGGTGCGCATATATTCACCCTCACCTTCATCATCCTGCATCGTGTTAGGCAGGGTGGTCCCTTTTGAGCTGGTGAAAAACTGATGCAAAGTAATTATTAAGCAGATTTGCTTTTTCCTGGCTGTTGGTTGTCAGTTGCCCCAGTTGGTTTAGCAGGGGTCCAATGTTGCCCTTGGTTTTTCTTCTGACTCCCCATGTATCTGAAGAAGGACTTTTTTATTGTCCTTGATTAGTGTCCAGTTTGAGTTCGGTTGCAGCCTTGGCTTTCCTAGTTCATTCCCTACAGGTGTGGACCAGTGCAGAATACTCTTCCTTAGTGGTGTTTCCTGTCTTCCATCCTTTGTAGGCCTCTCTTTTTTAGATGTAGGAGGTTCATGAGTTCCCTATTGAGCCAAGGGGTTGCTGAGCCCATTTACCACCTTTCCTATGGGTTGGAATGGATTTCCCTTGTGCTTCTAGGATTGCTTCCTTAAGAAGCAACCATTCGTCATAAACTCCCCTCCCTGTCAAATCATGGCCTCTCAGGACCTCAAGAACAAGCCTTCTGAGCTTATGAAAGTTGTCTTTCCTAAAGTTGAGGACTACTGCATTGAGCTGACTTGCCAGCTTTGCAATGGATAGTGAAAGTGATCAACTCGTGGTCATTGTTACCCAACTTCCCTTCAATTCTTAGGTTGCTGATTAGATCATCCCCTTTGACCAGTCCAGGTCCAGCAGCGCCTCACTGCTTGTTGGGCCATAAACTTCTTCAGACAGGTAGAGCTCATCCATGCATGTCAGGAAGCTTTGAGACCAAACGGATTTGGCTGAATGCTTTTCCCATGAGACGTCTGGATAGTTGAAGTCTCCGATGACAACCATGCACCAAGAGCATGCAGCCTCAGCCAGTTCCCTGGTCAAGCTCTTGTTCCAGATTTGGAAGCCAGTAGTAGACTCCTACCATTGTTTCCCCTTCACCACATTCCCCTCAGATTCTAACCCAGAGGGTCTCCAGTCTTCCTCCTTGGGTGCCAATCTTAGCTTGTAGGGACGTGTAGCTCTCCTTCACATAGAGAGCTACATCCCCACCTCCTTTTTTCAGCACAAGCTCTCCTCTCCTATAGCCATTTATACCCATAGTCCAGTCATAGGAGGAGTCCCACCAGGTCTCCATTATACCTGTAAGATCATAGTCATTTTTGTTTAGCAGAAGAACCAGTTCCTCCTGTTTATTCCCCAAACTCCTGGCATTAGTGTACAGGCAAGTAAGTATGCTGTTGGAAGCCCTAGGCTTCCTTGCACTTATGGAGAAGTTCTGTTCATGAGCTGGGGTAGAAGTGGGTTCCCTTGAGCATCCTAACCTGCTGATTTTGCAATTGATGCTTGGTGAGCTTGCTCTGGTGGTTGTCTGCCCACCCCCCAGCAATGAGTTGATCAGCTATTCAAAATGGCGCGTTTTATCAGGAATTATTTACCTGGAATATAATTATATTTAAATTGTGCAATGGTCCTTTATGGATAAGGACATCCTTCTATTATTTCCTCACAGAGAATTAGCTATGGGTGAACAATTTGATATCCTACACATCCCCTGACAATGCCTTGCAGGGCCCTGCATATACATGGAAGCATGTTAAGGGGACAATGGAACAAAAGGGATTTATTTAAATTAATATATATGTATTAGTTTTTCATCCCCTTGAGCATAAAAGACCGGATTCTCCTCCCACAGGTGGCAATGGCTCCACTAACATTAACATAGTATAAAAATGGAAAGGAATTCTCCATGCCAAATTTGAGTTTGGGAGAAGAAGGTGCTTTTTAGCATGGTTTCATAATGAATATATGACTTTAAATTATAAAAATCTTTGCAGTTAACAGCACCCTGCTTGTTAATTTAATGCTGAAAGAGTAAGAATGGTTTTCTTTAAGCTTATTCTTAAAAACTGTATGGCTATTTACTTTGTATATATAATTAATTGCAAAAAAACCCAAAGGATCTTAGTGCTTAGATTGACAGTTTCTTCTTATTCCTCATGTGCTAGTTAAGCTTAAATAGTCTGTTATGATAAAATCATTTCTTCCCCAAGGCAAAAGTAACTGAACTGCATTTTTGCTTGCAGGAGATTGGGTGGTATGATGATAATAAAAATGCTGTAGGAGTTTTGTTAACCAGACTTGCTACAGATGCCTCCCAAGTCAAAGGGGTATGTGGATTTTCTTTTCTTTTTTTAACATTTTCCCTAAAAATATTAACTGCAGTGCTAGCAAAGGACACTGACATTACTTTAGAAAACAAGGTAGTAAATCTGCTACAGAGACTTGGCTGATGCATTTTAAATAGCATGCTTTTTATACCTTGGAAACCAGTTTCCTAGCTGACAGTTTATGACAACCATCAAAAATTCAGCAGATATTCAGATACCTTCCATTCTCTTGTTGAAGTCTCTGCCAAATATTGAGTAACTTTAAGTGTGTGTCATCAAAGATGAAATTCACCAGTGCACCTTGAACCTCAAGCAACTCCACATCGCTTAAGCCCATGAACTTAATGCAGGGGTGATCAACCCCTGACCCATGGGCCATATCCAGCCCACAAAGCCATGCCATCCAGCCCACAGGGAGTGCCATGAGTCCAAAAATTTGGCAGCAGAGAAGCAGTGGCAGCAATTGCTGCTTCCCTGCTGCAAAATTTCTAGACCCATAGAGAGCCCTATGAGCCACACATAGCCCTGCTAGATCAATGTGCAGATGTGGCCCAAGGCCCAGTCTGGCCACAGGGCCCTATTGGAGGCAGTGCAGGGCCCAATTCTGCAGCATGGGGAGGCACAGAAGCAGTGCAGGGCCCAGATCTGACAGTGTGGAACTCCAGGGAAGTAGCATGGGTGGTGCAGAGACCCAGGGAAGCAGCATGGGCAGCACAGAGCCAGAGGAGAGGGTGCAGAGCTGAGGGAGGCGGTGCTGGTGGCACAGAGCCAAGGGAGACAGTGCAGGGCCCAGACCCAGTGGCACATGCCTAAGGGAGATAGTCCTGGGCCTCAATATGGTGATACAGGGACTGAACCTGTGACAAGGGACCAAGGGAGGATGGGTGGGCCCCATCCAGCTGGGGGGGCCAGTGGAGGTAATGCAGGGTCTGATCCTGGCAGATAGGGTCCAATCTGGCCCACAGGTGGGCCCCACGCCATACCAACAGGTTGAGCACCTCTGGACAGAAGTCCTTTCTGTGTTTCAAGTAGCCTTAAAATCCTACTTTGGTGGTATGGAAGAGTGGGATTTTACTTTGCAGCCCTTACCCTGACCTCATGGTGATTATAAGTCAATTTCTTCTTCCTAGACCATGCATTGCATTTCACACACAGAAAAGCTGACTACTCAGACTTAGTAGGGTGTACTGAGTTGTCATTAATAAAGGATGTCTGAGCTGGTAGCAGCTCAAGGTTTGGGTGATTCTGGCATTGGAGAGACACCGTTGGAAATCCTGCAGGAAAATGTCCATTGACCCTCAACCTCCTTAAAAACTCATGAACATCTGCTATATTTTAAAAAGCCTCATTTGAGAAGAATAGGGAAGAGTTAATATGTTGCTTACTGATTTATTCATTAGTTTAAATTCTCAACTCCATGATTTTTCAGCCTCAGTGGAGTTCATTTGCTCTCCCATCTCTTTTTTACTGCCTATCACTGGGGGGAAACAAATCAAATATTTGACAGAATATAAAATCAACTGTATTTTTAAAAACTGCAGCTTAACTCTTGGGATATGATGCATCATCTCAGCCACCAAAGTAAAACAGGAAGAAAAAGGGTAGGAGGATACAAACTATGAAAGGTTTAATAGATCATAAGCAACATTTTGAATTGAATTCAGAAGCTATTGCATTCTCTGGAACACAAAGTGTCGCCAAATAAGTAGGCTCCCACATGCTGTGTTCACTGAAGTTTCCAAATTATCTTTATATCGAGCTCCTAGAGCACACGGCAGCAGTTCATCCTGGCTTGAGTTTGATTACTATTTTAAATTTTATTGAATAAAAAAATTCTCTCTCTAGGGGAGGAAAGCCTCTGGCAAGAAAGGGAAGAATTTCACTTTCACCCAGGGTTTCTGGGGGGGTTTTCTACCATATCAAGCTTTTAAAGAATATTTCAATATGGCTTTCCATCTAACCTGCAGTCATGAGTAGAATTATAGTGTAAATAGATCTGATAACCACTTTTAAATTTCATTATAAAATGGATGTGCCTTGTTCATATATGCTTTTGCCTATATAACTACCCGTTTTAAATAGATATTTCTAGGCAAAGTGCAACTTTTGATAGATATTTTTAGGCAACTTTGAAACTGAACAAATACTAATTTCTCAGATTTGATCTATAACTCTAATTCTTTGGATATTTTTGCTCTTTATTAGGCTACCGGAAGCCGACTTGGTTTGTTGACTATGACAGTCTGCACCCTTCTGACTGCCATCATTATTGCTTTTGTATATGGCTGGCAGTTAACTTTGCTGATCCTGGCTTGCATTCCTTTCATTATTGCTACAAATGCTGTAAGAATTAGCTCTGTGTCTGGTCATGCATCAAAAGATCAAAAAGCTTTGGAAGAGGCCGGAAGAGTAAGTTCTCCAATTTCAACTAAATAATTTAAAGGACAAAAAACATGTCCAGTTCTATTGTTCAGCCAAACTTGTTCTGAAAGCACATTAACCAATGCAGTGATAAACAGAGATACTCTACGAGTATTTTGGTTCATCACATAAAAGTGAAGAAGGAATAGAAGGTAAACATTTGTTTAATTCTACAGGATAGTTTTGTGTTTGTTTTTTTTTTAAAGTTATATTTTTACATACAGAGAAGGGATATAGGAAGCAAAGGAAAATTAGAAAAGGAAGGTTTTTCTTCTCTTCCCTTGTTTTTCTTGTTTTGGGAAGACATTGAACATGGCTGCTTAAATGCCACGGGGGTTTAATGCAGTTTAGTTCTCCCTAAATTAAAACGGTGGGTTTTTAAAAACACCGTTTCAATTTAGGGAGAATTAAACCAAACTAAATCCCCACGTACACAAGGGTGGCCACCTGATCCTTACTTGCCTCTTCGGTGGCTGGGCAGGGGCAGAGAAGGGCTGCTGGCTGCAGGCTGAGAAGCACCTGCCTACTGGCATCTGACCCAGGAGTTCTTGGGGGGTACCGCAGCCATGGAGGGAAGCTTTGGCCCCTGCACAGCTCAGACAGGCTCTGGGGAGAGAGGGGGGGGGAAAAAAAAGATCAGGCTCACCGCTTTTGTTTTTTTTCTTTCCTCAGTGGAGCCTGCCTGCATGGGCTGCTGCTGGGTCCCACAGCCCCTGAGCTGTGTGGGGCCAGACAAGCCATGAGCACGTCAGTTTCCAATGTCCTGTGTACTGTTGCACTTTGTTAGATAGCAACCTAAGACACCTCGGAGATGTTTTATCTTGCTACATACCAAAGTCATTTAAAGCAGAATACGCTACTGAGCGTGTAAACAGCAACACCATTAAAGCAGTGCAAAAGGGCATTTAAGCTGCTTTAAAGTCCAATTTTGTGGCATGCACAAAGCCCTGCAAAGCCTAAAATGCATTCAGCTAGGCCACTGACCACTACCAGGTGGCAGCAACCCAGAACTGGCATTTTTCTATAGCCTGAATGGGAGAAACATGTCAGAAAAATAATCTCATGCCTAACTTCAAGTTTGCTACATTAAAATAAACTGCAAGTCCCTAATTTTAACTTTCACATCCCATCATGGATTACATCTAATCATAAAACTGTTATGCCATATTGTATTCTAGAACAGTTTCTTCATTGACTTGGAATCAACTCATGGAAGAGGTGATATCTTTTACTAGACAACTAGATATTTGCAAACAAATTATTTTATTTATCTGCAAGCTTTCAGGCACACTCACCCTTCATCAGGCATAGAAGAGATCAGAGATTGTAAAAGTTCTCCTAGATATTGATGAAAATTCATGTCATAGGAGACCTGAAGGTGTGGTAAAGTCTCCTGTTCTGGGATAGTTCATTTTTTCCAGATAAGGCACACAGAAAGGTTGAAAAAGTCTTGGATACCTGATACATTGAAGATATCTAATTTTAGCCAGTTTTTTTTAATGAAAAGTTCATACTTTTACAAGAAGGAAGCATTTTACCACCTGATATGCTGAGACCAGGCTCCTGCCATTGTTGGAGTGAATTTGCATCTCGGAGCACAGACACGTAGATACCTCATCACAAAACAAATTCCTGCACAGAATAGCTTTCCATCTTTCCACTCTTCTGTGAAACATGAAGCATCATAACCTGAAGGAAGTATACTTCTACATCTTGCTTGCCACCAGACAACTACAAGGTGTAAACAGACTTTTTTTCAGCCTTTCTCTATGCCTAACCTGGACAGAATGAACTATTCTAAATATGAGACTTTACCACACCCTCAGCTCTCCTGTGAAATATGAATTTTCATTTCTACCTAGGAGAACTTTTACAATCTCTGCCCTCTCCTATGCCTCATGAAGGGTGAGTGTGCCTGAAAGCTTGCAAATAAATAAAATAATTTGTTTGCAAATACCAGCTTAAACCATACATCTTTTCTTTTAATTTTAGATTTCAACAGAAGCTGTTGAAAATATAAGAACTGTGGCTTCATTAACAAGAGAAGAGGCATTTTTTGAGAAGTATAATGCAAGTTTGAATGGTCCATACAGGTGGGTTTATTTTCAAACAATTTAAAATGCTGTAAGTATCTATTGTGTTAATTAAAGAACACAAGATTTAACTATTGAATAAAAAAATAATTTGAAAAGATAATAGTAACTTTTTAAATAGATTTAAATTTTGCTTACTTTGTTTACCTCAAAATTTTCTCCCTTATGCATTGGCTGTTTTCACTTTAGAAGCATATTGTATACTGTGTGTCTGTGACTAGAGATGGGGGAAGTGGAAGAAAGGAGAGAAGGAGAAAGTGTATTATAAAGTTTAAATTGGCAAGCATATGAGATCTATTTTTTTCATTTACATGTTGTGAGTTACAGAAGTCATTTCATATAAGTGGCAATAGTTTTTAGGTCATGGCATGTCATTATTTTTATACCATTAGTATAAGCTTGAGAACCTTGAACTAAATTGCATAAATTTGTCATCTTTTGGCCACCTTGGCTACAGACCATGCCCTCATTTTTACTGACACTAATTCTAACATCCAAAGATGTTGGGTATTTTCCTACAGCCTCCATCTCATGCAAGTAATATGACCTATATGCTTTATGTAATCATATTATGGAAGAAAGAAATAAGTATAAAGCAAGGATTGAAAATGTTGCAGCCTACAACTGGTCCTCAGCTAAGGATACTTCATAAAAATACTGAATTGTATAACTATCAGAGTTAGAAAACATTGCATCTATTTGGGGAGGGAAGGGGAAATCTTAAATTTAGCAACGTGCACTGCAAGTTTTATGGAGCACTGACATGAAATGTTCAACAAATCACAATATTTCTTTATGGTCAAGTCAACCAAAACTCTATTTCAAGCAATTTATTTTGGTTTCCTCAATGGGAGATTTTGATTTTGCAAAGACTGTATGAACTTTCTAGCCAGCTTTTAAGTAGTACTAATTTCTTTGTCATATTAAGGTTCTTAGGATAGCATCTTTACTCTTACTCCATTACACTGATCATCATGGCTAGGGACAGAAATTACACATAAACCAATATAAGTGATCATAAGCCAGTTTAAATATGTAACACAACACAAGTTCAAGGCACATAAACCGCTTTCAAAATAGCCAAAACTATTTTAAGATAATCCTGGACAGATGTAGTATCAGACTTAACTGATTTTAGGTTAAATCAGTTTATTGAACTTCTGTCCCACATCCCCTCAAGATTCAAGGTAACTCACAGTCCCCCAGCATCCCAGGATGCTTTGCACCCCGCTCCCCCAACCACAAACCCCTCTTGCATGGTGGGCAGGCTAGCTTTAGCCCAAGCTGTCTGCTCCAGCAGAGGAGGGAGGCATGCTCTAGTGCCCTCTGGGTTCTGGCCTGGGCCACTGCAGGCTTGTGGCTGCATATCTGAAATCAAAAGTGAATGCCTGTTCACTTGCTTATTGGTTCAATCTATGTATCTTAGACTAACCTGCAAAGATTGAATCAATTCAGCCTTATGTTTTTTGACTGTCTGTACTTAGCCCATGTGACCATGACCACTATGTGCTGGGGTTCCAGATGTCACTGTGGGGTTTTTTTTTTGTGCTTGAAAACAAGCAATAGATCTCATGCTTTGTTAATCCTGTATGCTTTATTCATTCTTTGTATGGTGTCCTGATGTTTTCCTCACTTGAAATTCAAATATTCAAAGATACTGAGAGATGTATAATAATTATCGCTCTTATTCATATACCAAGACCTGTCAGATTGCTGTGGCCTCCCATAAGCTTTTCTTCTAGAAAATATTCAGGAGTTTACAGTTCTGGAAGTGCTAAAAGTGTTTTTATAGACTATTAACCATAAGTGCCTATCCAATATACCCCAGCTCAGGGGAGTAGGTAGAGGTTGGTGGGGAGGGGCAGAGTAGTGGAAATAGTTTTTCATCAGGAGCCAAGTATGGAATTCTAGATTGTACCAAATCGATGCATAGCAGTGACCCTGAAAAAGCAAAATTAACATGGCTAGAACATCCCTTGACATACTAGCTAATACCAATTGACTGTATTTGTGAGTCTGCCAGCTAGAAAAGAATTTGAGAAAGTATAGCCTAGGCCCCTCCCTAGGTTGAGATCTGAGATCAAGAAGAGAGTACAGATGGTGTCTGTGATGTGCTAAATCTAAACTTGACCTGTTTAAAAGAATTAATATTCAGGAGGAGAGAAACTCCCTCAGACATCAATGTCTCAGTCCTCAGGCTGGTGTGTACAAGAGAATTTATTGCACTAGAGGGTGCGCTGGTAGTCTTTCCCCTCATGTCAGGGTACAAAGACTTTCGCTCTCATGTGTAGGGTCTTAGGCTGGCCCCCTCCCCCAGCATGGCCATCTGTTGCAGTTAAAGGTTGCTGCTACGTCCTGGAAAGGGATAGAAGAATCGAAGAGAGGAGAAGACATAACATGGGGTGAAGGGATCTCACTGCCCTAAATTATCTGCCATGGAAGCACTTCCTAGTATACAAGGTCTTTCGGTTGTCCAAAAGTCTGGCATTTTTCCATAAAACCTTGTATGTTGCTGTCTCACAACAATTTTTTGCTGTAATTAAGGCCTTTTTGTTTTACCAGGGACTCTTTGAAAAAAGCCCCCCTATATGGATTTACCTATGGAATAGCCCAGTGTGCAAACTACTTTATTAATGCAGCAGTCTTCAGATTTGGGGCCTGGCTTATTGCCCATTGCTATACCAACTTTGAAAATGTTTTTATGTGAGTATATTTTCTGAGGGTATTCCAAACACATGTTAATTGTTTAGAAACCTGATTGCAGAGATTATAAACTATAGAAATTCAGTAGTTTATAATCTTGTCTGCAGTTAACATCAGGCAGAAAGGTTATTCCTTGGAAAGGTTGCTCACACAGAAAGAAAGGCATAGACCCAGTTATGAGCTGGCATGTACAGCTGGCTTGGTTGAGAAGCTATTGCTTTTCATTGCAGACAGTGAGCTTCTGCATGGAGAAGTTTCACTGTATTAGTCATCTAAAAATTATTTATAGCCATAAACTTTACTTTCTAATACTCCGTGTACGTTTTCAAGCTATTAATTTCTACAAATGTCCTAGTCCTCAAATTTAGAGACACTAACAAATTTGTTTAATTAAAAAAACCCAGTAATAAAAGTATCTTTTTAGCTGAAAAAATATTTTGTGTTTTGTTTTCAGAGTCTTTTCTTCAGTTATATTTGCTGCTATGAATGTTGGGCAGTCCACGTCTTTAGCACCAGATTATGGCAAAGCTAAAATTTCTGCCCAACGAATCTTTCAGCTTTTGGATCAGAAACCTCTGATTGACAGTTACAGTGAAGAGGGGGAAAAATTGGTAAAGTCTTTCAGAGAGGCCATGAAATTAAAAAGAAAATAACCCCCCAAAACTGCTACTTTATTGTCTTTTAATTGTATTATTGTAAAAAAATTTCCTTTTACAGTGCAATAGAAAACATTTCATTCAGGTAGAGTATAAAATAATGGTAGTGCATTATAGATTTTTGCAGAAAATTAATAGAATACCTTTTAAGTGTAGTTCTAACCAGGGTCTAAAAATGATATTTCACTCAACAGACTTGCATTTTGAGGAGTAGGTAGAGTTGTACGTGCTTGCTTGAATGATATATATCTGGTCTCTGCCATTTTTTTATTTCTATAACCTATAAAGACCCAAAGCTACATGTGAAAATGAGTTAGAATCTATACTGTCTTATACACCTAAGTTGCTCGGTAAGTTCCAGTTTGTTATACCTGTTTAACCTTGTTCAGTTTAAAGGCTAGCAAAGATATTAATGAGATCAATTTGGCCTGAAGAACTTACTTCCTTACTGGTAATTTTTAAGTGGCGTTGGAAACACCCAGGTTGCTTCTCAGAAGCCCAGAGGTGATAATTGGAGAACTCGCCTTTGTGCTTATAAACTGACCACATTTCATACCAAAATTGCTTAGAGACAAAATACTTAGTTTAGTAAAACAGCTCTACTGTGAGCTTACTCCCAATGCCAGTGAAACAGCTGCCTTTAGCCATGGTGAAATTAAGCGGTGACTCAATATATACAAACTTGAAAGACTCATTCATTAAAGAATGAGTTCTTGAATAGTTTCTTTAACAGCCTGTTGTACAAACAGTGCTGATATTATGGCCCAGGTTGTTGTCCCATTCCCCAGATATCAGATCAGATTCACACAGTCCTTAATTCACTTTTGTCTTGATACCTTCTTCTTTCTTATCCCCTACTCCTTCCTACATGTGATAACCAGAAAACAAATCTCTCTCCTTGTTTGAATTGCCCCTTACAACAAAATTTGTCCTTGAAGTCTGTGAATCATCTACTGTAGTATTCAAATCATTTTTAGCTTCTGATGTTCATCTTGTACTATGTTCATTCTGTGTCACATGCATTTGTCTTGTACTAGGTGAAAATCATAAGGAAGGAATGTGGATTCTATATACAATAGTAGTCTTTGGATTACATATATTAGTAACTTAAATGAAGGTTGTCAAGAGCGTGCCTAAAACAGCTCCCCTTGCAAACCAGGCTGATGGGGAATAAAGTAGATGACAAAGTAATGTAGGAAGCAGCTTCTCAAAATGGAACTCCAGAAAATTTAAAGAGATGAAATTTTCCTCCAATCAATAAAAGATGTTATATTCAATCTAATATCACCCTGGGTATTTAAAATACACAGTGAAATGCATTTCAGAAAGTCTATACCATCCCAAACTTGGTTGCCAGTTCTGTCACTTAAATTATCATATTGTGTTATATTTGATGTCTCCGTACAAACTAATAAACATAATACATTTATATTTTGTATTGGTTTCAGAGTCACTTTGATGGTAACATTGAGTTCAGGGACATCCATTTTGTATATCCAAACAGACCAGAAGTTCAAGTTTTGCAAGGTCTCAATGTAAAGGTTAACAAAGGACAGACTCTTGCATTGGTTGGAAGCAGCGGCTGTGGCAAAAGCACGTCCATTCAGCTCCTGGAGAGATTTTATGACCCGGTGGCAGGACAAGTGGTAAGAAGGGTGTACTAGGCTCAGAGATGTGCTCACTCAAACAGATAGGCTTTTGGGTTCATTTACAAGTTTTCCCCAGTGTCTTTATACCCCTAGGACAAACTGTTTCCCAGCAGAAATCAACATAAACAAAGCAGTCCGTAAGCCAAATAGGGTCTTTTCCCAGGCCCGAAAGAGTCCCCAGGTGTTCTTGCTGGTGGTTTTGCTGCCACTTGCTTGGTTTATTTCTTTTCCCTTTGGTCCATTCAGCAAACAGGAAGACTCATTCACAGTCCCTCTCAGTTGTTCTAATGGCCCTCTGACATAGTCCTCAAACTTCACCATGAGCTGACCCATTAGCTCTCCACTTCTCATTTTCAAGTCTCAGCTTGCAGGTCTATATATCTCCCTCTAGCTCCCCTCCCTGGGAGCCTTTTTAGCTTTCTGTGCCAGCTAATTATCTATCTGAGCTGGCCAGGTCTTCCTAATCACTCCCTGTGCCTAGAGCTGGTTTGTAGTTCTTACAAGCCTGCAGACTACTCCCCAGCTTCTAGAGCTAGCAGACTGCTATGGAGGGATTTGTGGATCTGTTAATAACACTTAGTGTTCATGTAAATCTTCAACAATGTAGGATCCAGCTGTGCAAATACAAAATGGGGAACAACTGATTAAGCAGCCATGGACTGAGGGGTCTTAATGGATGAACATGAATCGGCAATGTCATAACTTCTCTCTTCCTGTTTCCAGCTTGCAGATGGATTTGATACTAAGTCTTTGCATTTGCCCTGGCTCAGATCCAAATTGGGCATTGTGTCACAGGAGCCTATTTTGTTTGACTGCAGCATTGCTGAAAATATCCAATATGGAGACAACAGTAGGGTGGTTAGTCAGGAGGAAGTTGTAGAGGCAGCTAAAGCAGCAAATATTCATACCTTCATTGAAAATCTGCCAGAGGTAAAAGGAAAATGTCCTTCCATCCATGGTGGTGGTAAATAATCATTGTAACACAGAAGTTTATGTAGGCAGCTCTCATTAATGTAAAGCAAAGTGCAAAGGTGTTTGGGTGGTTTTTTTAACCTGTTTTATTTTTATGAAGTTTTGCTTGTTTATGTGAGGTTTGAATATTTATTTGATTCTGAAAGAGCAAGAATACATAGAACTGTTATTAAAACACACTGCATTTTTTTAAATAAGTGTAAGATCATCATTAACTCCTTCACATAATTCATGTGAGCTCAAGGTGTTTTGTTTTTGTTCTGTTTTGGTTTTGGTTGGTTTGGGGTTTTTTGTTTTAATACTATAGTGATTTGTAAAAGAATATAAAAGAAACATTGAGTTTTAATTCTAATTTATTACCTCAAATTTCCCCCTCCCCTCCTTGTTTTGGCTGAAATCCTCAATCTTAGCTTAAGTGAAAAGATAAATTTTATTTTTTTAACTATTTCAATAAAATTGGCTACGTTACTTTCTGATTATGTGGACATGTATAGAACAAAAAAAATACAGTAACAACTTTTTAGAAAAAGATCAGGGACTACTTAAATATCATACTTGCTATTGATTAAGTTCTCCATGAGAAGGAATGCTTTGCAACAGCCGATGAAACCAAGCTTTCAGGGAGTATTCTGTAACAGGAAATGTCATACTGATACTAAAGAATATTTTATTAAATGCACTGCAAAGAATGTCTGGGATATTCAGGAATAAAGAATCATATCCTCAGTTTCGAACTCTGGAAACGCAACACTGAATTTTTTTTTCAGATAAGCATGTCACTGGGAGCTACTCTTTTGATAATATAAAGAAGAAATTTCATTGCAGAACAGTTATAAATATTCATTTAGATTCAAAATATTAATATAATAATAGGATATCTTGATTTTTATTAAAATTAGCTACATTTTTTTTCTTTCAAGATGGAAATACTTAAGATATTATTAAATTTGAGAATATAGCTTTATGTTTTCAACCTTCCTTTTAATTTTATCCTTCTTCTAAAAACAGAAATACAGTACACGAGTAGGTGACAAAGGAGCACAGCTTTCTGGGGGTCAGAAACAAAGAATAGCAATTGCTCGTGCTCTGGTTCGTAAGCCAGCGGTTCTCCTTCTGGATGAAGCCACATCAGCTCTTGACACAGAAAGTGAAAAGGTCAGTAATACTCATGATATTTAAAATACAGGCAAATGAAGTTTGAAAGTCACTGTCTGAACACTCATTGTATGAACACACGTTCTCCATCTAAGAATACAGTTTTATAGGTTCTGTAAGACAGTCCTTAGTTCTCTCTACCCAGAGCCTCATTTTTCAAATACGGTGCCTGTTTTCAATTTCATTTGCTAAACTAGGCATTGATGTTGGTCAGCATCTCTTGGAATTGGACAGAGTAGAATTTTCAGAACTTCAAAATGTTAGCCTACCTATTGTCCTTCGAGGTCCAGATGCAGTTGAGGAGATTTTAGACCAGTGCTTGGTGTTTTGAAATTCCATTTTCATTAGAGGCACACCAATACACAGGTCTGATATCACATCAGCACCGACATAAAGAAAATTTTCTGTATCGGAAATTGTCCCGATGCAGCCAATAATTTGTCCAATACATGCCCGTGCACGCGCACAGCCACAGCACAGCACATGGGCAGTGAAGAGCAGAGCTGGCAACGTAGAGTGCTGCACGCAGTCGGTAAGTCTGGTGTGGTGGAAGGGGAAAGGGAGGGGCATGGGGTAGCAGATTTAAGGCCCCCGCAGCAAGGGAGGGAGTGGGGTTGGGGCTGGCGCTGCCCAGACAGGAAGGGAGGTGGGGGCAGCTCCCAACACTGCATGTGGCTTGTCCAGTGATCATCTGGTGGCTCCTGCCACTCACCTGGGGTGGGGGGGGGCATGTGCCCCTGGATCTGCATGGGGTGAGGCAGGGTGTGCTGGGGCCTGGCTCTTCCTGGCTGGGCAGATCTGGGGACACAAGAATTCCCCCCCCCTCTTCCCCCCCAACCCTATATCCTCCTGGATGAGCAGCGGGAGCTGTGGCAGGACCTGCCAGACAAGCATCGGATGAGCCACAGGCAGCTGCAAGAGCCACCTCCCTCCCTTCCCATGCCCAATGAGCCATGCTTCAGTCCTGCGCCCACCCCACGCAGATCTGGGAAGCACATGCCCCCCTCCCACTCCCCCTGGAAGAGCCACTTGCAGCTCTTTCCCATACCCCTCCCCGCCCCGGGTGGTCACCACCTGCCCCTGCACCAGCTGCAGCCCCATTCCCTCCCTAACACCAGGGGCCTTGATCTCCCCCCCACACACACACACACCCCTTCCTTCCCCTCCCCTTCATCATACCAGGCTTACCAGATGAATGCAGCTTTTCATGTTGAAGTGCTGCGTATCAGAAATCAGATCAGTATTGGCCAATATGCCTCCTTAAAAATCTGCTGTTGGTATCGGCCCCAAAAATCTCTACTGGTGCACCCCTAATTCTCATAAATAGTTCATTTGAGTCTGACTCAGATGTCTCCCAGCAGTAGCTTCTGAGCTACCTGTAGAACTTGAAACTGCATAATTCAAACCAACAACTTCTACTCTCCAAGCTACCAGTACTATCATTAAAATGTTCTTCTGGACTAGGGACAGATATTACACACAAACCGGTTTAAGTGATCAGAAACTGGTTTAAAACTGTAACAAAACAGCAATTCAGTACACACAAACTGGTTTCAAAATGGCCAAAATCAGTTTAAGATGGACCTGGAAGAATGTAGTATCAAACTTAACTGATTTAGTTAACATCAGTATGCTTCATTATTGGTTCAATCTATGCAAGTTAGAGAAACCCATGAAGATTGAATCAATTCCACCTCTGGCTTTTTGACTGCCTGTACTTAGCCCTGATAAATCTTTCTCCTGGTTGATAGGTGTAATTACAGAGAGGGAGAGAGAAAGATCCACTCTGCTGCTAGATCTGCTAGCTGTCAGAACAGGGAGAGAGAAGGCCAGATTCTGCTAGTTCACAAGGAGGCTTAATGTCTCCCCACCTCTGTGCGTTTTTCAGGCCTTTGACTAACTATGGTGAGAGCTGCTTTGTGGGAGCAACTAACCATTCTGCCTGTAGACCACTTTGGGTGAGTGGGGCATGCTGTGCAAAAAGGAGAAAGCAGTGAAGCTTTTTCTGCTGCTCAGCCAGGAGGCCAACCTTCCCCCCTGCATAAACCGTCTCCAGAAGTGAGGTAGAGAATATACCATTTGGATGCAATGGAAATGAAAATTTCTGACCTCCAATTGAAAACTCAATGTCAGGATCCTGAGTCTTGTGAGCAAAAGAAATGTCTGAGGGCCGTGTTGCCTGTTCGCTAGCAACCATTGCAAATCATTGAAATGTAGAGACCTATTAACATTTGTACATGTTAGGAGAAACCCTTGCCTAAAAGGGAACAACTTTGCAATGCCACAAGGGTACTTACCATGTCCTAAACTGCTTGAATATAAATGGCTTGCATTTTAATTTCACTTTAAGTGTTTAGCTGAACATGTGACACCACCCAAACATATAATAAGACTGAAAGTTTCACTTCTGTCAGTTGTGTAACTAGGGTGGGGCGCTGGGGCAGCAGAAAAGAATGGGTGCCGTTGCAGCCATACAGTCATGGCAGTGGCAGCCACCAGAAATCACTGCCACCTCTGTGTGTGGCACCTGCCCCGGGTGTGCAGCTTCATTGTGATGCCTCTGAGTCCTGTCCCTATATCTGGTCAGTCTGCTTTCCCCAAAATGAAAAATCCTCAGATTTGTGCTTTGTATGTCAGTCTGACATACATCTGGACAGCAGGGTGGTTGCTTACTGAAATTCTCTATTTAGAGAAAATTAGCAGATGGTGTGTGGTATCAATATAAAAACATAGTTGGCAAATAGCCTGTGTCATAGATAAGGAGTTGCATCTCAGCTCCCTGCCAAATAGCTGTTGCACAGTGTATATCAAAGTTTTACGCTGATCTAAACCAGATCACACACGACCTAGGCTCATGTGAGTAGTTGGACTTGAATCAGAAGTAATCAATGGGTATGTGCAATCTTACCTCCAAGGATGAACTCACTTTAGATCAATCTGGGTTAACGTGATCTAAAGTGGATCAACCTGACCTAGTGTGTGCTTGTATGCATTCACAGCATAGCCCCAGGGCAGGGAAAACCCAGCCACTTGCCCCAGCCTCAGGCCTGTGCTGCTTCTACCTCCCCAACTCTGACCAGACTATTTTTGACCTCTAGATTTACCCCCCCTCCACCTACCTGCCAGCCTCCTCTCACTGCCTCCTCTCCCTGCCCAAGTTACTTACCTCAGGCTGCCCCTGCCACTCTTGGCAAGAGGCTAACACCTGAACACACTGGTCCCAGTTTAAGTTTAGGTAGTTTAAAGCAAGCCAAATAAACCTAAACCATGTCTCTCAAATGCTTGTTTGCACCCAATAAATAATCAGTGGTATAGACCAAAGAAGCAGGCTTCTATGATTTGTTGACTCAGGTGCTTAAGGACAAGAAAATGCACTGCATATGAAAAGGAAGATTCTCAAAAGAAATGTTTTTCATCACTTCTCTGTGCAGATTGTCCAGAAAGCCTTGGATGATGCCAGGCAGGGCCGAACCTGCATTGTTATTGCTCACCGTTTGACAACTGTGCAGAATGCTGACATCATAGCAGTGATTCAGAATGGAAAAGTGGTAGAACAGGGGACTCACAGCCAACTGCTTGCAAAAGAGGGACACTACTATGAACTTGTAAATGCACAAGTGTCTCATTAGATGACTGCAAGATTCATTTTATTTATATAAAGATACATAGGCCTACAACTAAGTTGTATTAAGGCTGAAAGTGCCCAAGTATTGTCATCTTGCACTGTTGAGGTTCAAAACACAGCCATGCTGGGTATAATAAATTTAGATAGACTTGTTTTTGATGTATGTCTTAGTTTTAAGGTAAGTTCCTTTCAAAGATGCTGTTTAATTTTATACATTTTTTATAATTACAAATTTAAATGTAAATTGACATAATAGACCACATTTGTTCATTTAGAAGCTAAACAAAGGGACCTGGGAATATTGGGTACACATGAGTCACCAATGCAGTGGCCCCATGAAAAATGCCAGCACAATCCTAGGCTGCATTATGTAGGGTGTATTTAGTAGAAACAAAGATACCGTTGTACAAGGCATTGGTAAGACCCATTTAGAATACTGTGGGCAAAAAGTTCAAAGAAGATCAATATAAACTGAAAGAAGTTCAAAGGACCACTGAGAAGGTTAGGGACATGGAAATAAGGAAAAAAAAGAGTAAAGGACCTGGGCTTGTTTAGTTTAGCACAATGGAGATTGAGAAGGGATATGATCACTTTATACAAGTGCTATGTGAAACAAATATTAGGGAAAGTGAAGAGCTGTTTAGGATGAAAAACAACATTGGCATCAAATGGCTATATGTTGACTGTGGGTAATTTGAGATTGAAAATTAGAAGATAATTTCTCATTTCAGGGGAGTAATGCTTTGGAATGGTTTTCCAAGCAAAGTAGTGAAGGCAAGAAATCCTAAATTACTTTTAGATTGAATCAGATACAATTAGGGAAGGGATATTATAATAGGTCAAGGAGGTCTGGCACACCAATCAGTCTCTCTCAAATGTGAAGTAATATGTTGATGGTCCCCATAGTGAACATTAAGGTAACTCTGTAAAATAGAAGGTATCTGATAATCCCTTGCCTTGAGGTTTTGCTGGTTGCCAGTTGGAGCCCAGAAGAATGTTATTCCTTTTTTGGCTTCTGGCTTGTGGTTTTTGTTTTTTTCATTGTTTTTTTGGTGGAGGGGTGTTTTTTTTTACTTTCAGCTGAGGCACTAAGACATTGTGCACAGTAAGGCTAGGGGGATTTGACCAAAGTGCCCTCATGTTCCTGACGGTAGTAGAAATCCAGACATCTCCAGCTAGAGGGTTTCACTCTTCTCTTTAGCATCATAGCCATCACCAAATTTGGGGACGGGGGAATTTTTTCCACTAGATCAAATTTGCATGGATCATTTTGCCTTTCTAAGGCATAAGGTTTTGTCCTCTTTCTAAAATCATTTAGTTACCTCCCTGTTTTTGTAGTGGCAGGGGAGTGGAAGTCATATCCTTTTCACCTTTGGCATGTTACATTGTGTTCTTGGTCTTCCAGATATTATTCCTTAGAGTTATGGATGAGAACTTCGGGGGTTCCATCAGTTAACAATTGCGTATAAACACAGTGGAATTGGGCTTGATAATCCAGGAAAGTCAAAAGCAAATCTAGAGAGGGGTATGGTGATACAGTCCCACCCCCCTCATCACCTTCGCACCCTGCTTTTCAGAATCTTGGATACATTACTGACAAAACCCCCTTCCAGTCCTAAGTTCCTAAACAGCATTACAAATAAGATTGCTGATGCAATAGAACATGGCTCTTCCAAGCCCTTAGAATCATTTTTAAATGGACTTTAAGATGTGGATCTTTGATCCAGACATCAGAGATGGCTGCTTCTGGAGCTATTTAAAAAAATGTGTTTTATCAACATGCAATATCATATTTAAACGTTTTTCAACTTTTTTAGTTGACTTTTTTAAAATTGTTGATGGATCCATATTTACACAGTTCCACTGCAATATTTTATTAACTGGTTTTCTACCAGTTGAGGCATAGATGTCATCTCCTCAGAGAGAAGCTCAGGCAGACATGTTTTTGGTTTACTTTTGGCAACCCTGAATTACAGGATTTTGTTCTTCCAAGGACTAAATAAATATCATATTTGGATTTTGGTTTAGGAGTCTGGAATATTTTACAACTTCCAGATAAAATTGCTTTACTCATGACAGCCTGAAATTAAAACAACCTCCTTTGCCTTTTAGATGCCAGAAAGCAATTAAAAAAAATCTAAGGGGAATAAAATATCAAAACATACAAACTGTGCACTCAATATTGCTAAAATGCATACAGCCACTTTCTCCTAATGAGCTTTTTTTCAGAGGCCTGCCAGGATGGGTGATTTCTCTTAGTCTCTAAGTCAAGGAACTTCAGTTGATCTCTCTTCCCATTTGTATTTCCTTATTATCCTAACTGGTTTCAAATGTATTCATATTTCTGATTTTCCTTCTACACTGGAGTCAATATGACAAGCAACAGATTGGCTTTGCACCTTATATTTTAAAGCTCCTTTCTTCTATAACAGAAATCTGGGAGATCCAGGGCAGCTGGATCTGAGTTCCTGGTTCACACTCATTTCTGTTATAGATCACAAAGAATCCATTATTTATTCTAATTGTTTTACAGACAAAATGAAGCCTGTAACGAAGAATGTGAAAATCATTCAATATAAAAAGTGAGATGCCAAACTTGAAATAAACTAAGGGCATATCTTGTATGAATTATAACACCTCTAGCTAGCTAAAGGCATTGCATAGATGGAAAGACCTATTCTTAGCTACAAAGATAACAGAAAGTACAGGCCAAAGAGCTTGATTTAATTGTACAGTGGGCTTCCAATTTGGTAATTTTCATTAGCATTGGCAATCTCTTGATTTGAGGATGATTTCTACCATGGCTCATTGATGGGTCTCGAGATGACCTAAGAGGCCAAACCTTGAGCCACAGATCTATCCACAGAAGTTGCAGGTCTTTCTGCAGGGAAGAGTAGGCTGTAGCCTGGGATTCCTTTCCTTTTCTTTCCTCCGTTCTCTCTTCTCTGCTTCAAGGGCAAAACTCTTTCCCTTGAAATGGACTGGTGGAGGTTGCAGAGCCTTTGGAGTTGGTTGACAGCTAGCTCCTCCAGCACTTGATGTTGGTATCTGTTTTCTTGACGTATTCCTTCAATGTGTCCATGTATTACTTCCTCTGACTACTATGAGTTCTCAGTCCATTACCAAGCTGGGAATAGAGCAATTGTCTTGGGAGTTGAGAGTCAGGCATCCACACAGTGTCTGGTCCAGCAATGTTGGTGCTTAAGGATCACTGACTCAATGCCGACAACACTGGTTGCAGCGAGGATACTGGCGTTTGTGCAGCCATCTTCCCTTTTGATGTGGAGGATTTTCCAGAGGCATCTCCAGGTGCTTGAGATGATAGCTCACAGCTGTAGAGGAGGTTGGGGATGATGACTACGTTATAGAGCTGGATCTAATCATTCCAGAAATCACAATGAATAAAGACATGCTGAAGCAGTTTATCAGAGTAGACACTTGTACACTGTAGAGGCAATTACAGAAGCATGAACAATTCAGTTTTAAAGCTTTTGAAAAGAACTCTGCCATGGCCTGTCTAAAATATGTGAGTTCCTACAACCACTAGAAATGTGACTTCTGATCATGTGTTGTTTCAGATACAGGCCAGCATTACAAAATAAGTAAAGGGAAGTCATTACACATGTGTCATTCTCAGCGCGCTGTTTAACCCATTCTATCCCTGTCTTCCTATATGACAATAGCTATGCAATCTAAATTACATCTGTATTAGTAAGACAAAAATGAAATAAAGGACCTGGAGTTCTCAAATGTCACACCATTCCCTAAAAGCCATTGGTTTATAATTATGTCACAGCCAGCAAAGGAGATACTGGTATTTTATATATACCCAAAATGTGTGTTCATTACTGCTGTAACTTTGTGCAAGGAAAAAAAAAAGGCACTACTCCATGAATATATCTCATATTTTAGAGAAATCTGAAAAACCTCTATCTTTATATATCTGGCCTTTGATATTGTCATTCAAGAGAGAAAACTTAATAGGACAATGCAAATATGAATAAGGTAACAAGGATCTGCTCATCTGGTCTGCAGCAACACTGCACTGTCAAAGAAATACTATTATTCTATTTATTTTTTCCAGTTCAAACATAATAAAAGACACCATATCCCTAGCAATAAAAGAAGGAAATCAAACCTAACATAAAACAGCAAGCTAGCAAGAAAACAAGAAAATTCCAACCCTTTTCCAGATTTCCAAAACACATCCCACACCACTAAATGCCTGACAAGTAGATAGGCTGCACTGAATGAATTTAAGCAGAACCTTGTTGCAGTCTTTAATAACAAATAATGGCCAAACATTCTCAGGAACTCTGAGCCTTCATTCAGTTCTTCTAGCAGACTAGGTCCATGATTCCTCACTTCCCTGGGTTCTCAATCATAGATACATGTCATTAATACTCGTATAGCTATCTACAACCTGACTGGGTATATGTTAATGAAAGGGGTTGATCATGAAGACTCCATCCACAGTTAAGTGAAAAATTTATGACAAATACTTAAGAACCATTTTACTAGGATGGCCTTGGAAGTTATTAGTCAGGTTTTGCCTCTTGACAGTGAATGCTATTTTGTATGGTAATGGATTTAAAGTGCTATGTTTGTGTGACTAGTCAAATACTTAAATCAGTGCTTTCTTGTTTGTATCAGCAAAATATGGAATTTTTACAAGGTTACCCAAAGTTTGTTTCAACTTCTATATAATGGAGGCCTCTAATGTGTTTCTTACAACCTCTACCAACCTCCTCTATCGTCCCTACCCAGATTTACCCAACCACTTAAAAATATGTTTTCAGGTCTAGACAGGATGAAGGTATAGGCCTAATGAGGTGACCCAAGCAACAAAGCTATTCATTTGGAGGGGGTCCGCAATATACTTAACCACTCAATTATGAATTCATCTTATGTTGTTGTTAATTTTGACTAAATCTTGGAGTTAGACTTGTCCATGCAAATGCAAACTTCAGACATTGCAATGAGTGTAGTACAAACTCCTTGAAAATGGCTGCTGATTTTGGAGCCTCCAAACAGTTAAACACTGCTGTATTTTTTTTTTATTTGCATTAGAGTGTGACCACCCTAATGGGTGCTTAAGTTTGCTATTAATTTAATATCCATGCTGTTTTGGATTTCCTGTCACAATTTGCAAGG